GGGCACCGTCAAGCAAAAGGCAGCGACTTGCCAGCATCACCGTATTTATTTTTACCCTCCGCAGCAAGCCACGCCGATTTCACAGACACGCTCTCCAGGCGACTGCCTGGCGTTAAGGCATTTTTAAAAATCACGTAAAACATTTTCCCCGGCTGCAGCTGCCACCCCGGGGCTGCCTGCGCCCACCGCCTCAGCGCAGCGTCACCAGCTCTTCCGCAGAAGTGGGGTGAATGGCAACAGTGTTGTCCAGGTCAGCCTTGGTGGCCCCCATTTTGATGGCCACGGCAAAGCCCTGCAGCATTTCGTCGCAGCCCAGCCCCTGCATGTGCAATCCCACCACCTTCGGGGAAGAAGCAAGAGGCCGGATGGGACCCAGCGCCGGTGAAATCCAGGCCAGACCCTGGGCTTGGTGCTGGGGGAGCTGGATCCCAGCCCAAGACCAGGTCTGAGCAGGTCAGAGCCAACCAGGCAGGGACAAGAGGACAGCCAGCCGTCATCCCCCCAGGCCCCTCCACGCACCTTCTCCTCCTTGCCAGCACACACCAGCTTCATGACGCACTTAACCTTCCTCTGGGTGACAGCGTGGTACAAGGGGGTGAAGGACGTGCTGTAGATCTTCACATTCTCCCTCCCGTGCATGGCCACGGCTTCGTCTGCAGTAGAAGACACATGGGGAAGGGGGTGGGGGTCAAAGCACATGTTGCAGCGCTCAGACCACTTGCCAGAGATCGGATTGTCACCTCAAACCAGCAGCTCTGAGCCGCAACGTCCCCAGCCTCGCCACCCCCTCCAAGCCCTGTCCCTCCCCACCTTCGGTGAGGCGGGAGCATGGCAGGAACACCATCCTGCAGCAGGCTCCGGAGACCCATGGGACCCCCCCTGAGACCCATGGGACTACCAGAGACCCATGGGACCCACGGGCATCCTCACACCAGCTCGGAAGGGATGTGCTGCCACCTCACCACCTGGTCCAGGCACAGCTCCTTGGTGTTGGGCTCCCGCCCCACGGCCCACAGCAGGCAGTCAATGTCCCGGATCACTTCCTCTGTTGGCTCGCGGCCGGGCACCGAGGAGGTCACCGTCACATCCAGCAGCCCGCAGGGGGACTTAGTGACCATCTTGACCTGTGAGGAACAACAGGAGACACGGGGGAGAAGGTGCTGACGGCAGATGACACCAAAGCCGTGGCCTGGCAAGCAGCTCCCAAAATGCCGGCCTTCCCCTGGCCCTGCCTCTGCAGGACGGAGGGGGCCAGCCACGGGGCTGCTCTGCACGCCCGTACCTGCGTGTGCTTCCAGACGTCCACCCCGGTGTTCTCCAGCTCCTGGGTGCAGTTTGAGCTGATCATGGAGTCAAAGGTCCTCAGGACCTGGGCAGGGACCCACCAGCCCCGTCAGATGAGGGTCCGCAGGCAAAGGCACCGCCTGGCAGCCCCCCTCCACCGGCATTTCCCTGCACCCATCTGGGTGCAGAGAGGTTTGAGGCACTTCTGATAAAGTTCTCTGTTTGTTTTTAATTGTTTTTTTTTCAAGTCACGACTTGAAATAAAGCTCAAGGAAATGGGTGCAGCGGCACACAAAGCTGCAGCAATACCAGGCATGCAAGCTGATGCTGCCGAAATCCTCCTGGCAGCACACCTATGCTCTGCTCGCCCCATCTGCCCCCAGCCCACAACTGTTCTGTGCGTCTCTGATACCTTGTCTCGGCGGATCAGCAGGGACGACTTGGAGCCCAGCGTGGAAAGGATCCCCGCGATTTCCACCGCGATGTAGCCGGCACCGACAATAACGCTGCGCCTGCGGAGAAGCGACGATGCCCTGTGCAGGCGCGCCGAGCCACCAGCAGCCGCAGCCGTGGGGGCGAGCCCCGCTTTACCCGGGCAGCT